AACTGCAGCCAACCCTCCTCTTTTTTGCTAAGGAAAATTGGCCCTGGGCTAATACATGTGCCCATCTTCCTCTACTTTATATGGGATGCCACCACAGCATGGCTTGATAAGTGGTGTGTAGGTCCACGCCCAGGATCCGAACCTGTGAACCCCAGGCCACCAAAGCGGAGCATACGAACTTACCCACTATGCCACCGGGCCGACCCTAGAATACTTTTTTTACTACAGGATAAGTAATTGAAATGTGAGAATCTTCAGCTTATGTATATGTCATTAAAACCCAACAGTAACTGCAGCAATTGTTTAGAATTTAGACTAACATCAAGATTTCTCTGGGAGGAGTATTTTTATCACTAACATTGCTTAGAAGTGCCGGATCTTGGTGACAATAACAAGCAGACTAATTATTATTATTATTATCTTTAAATTCTCAGAAAATGCGTAGCTTGAGTGCCTGTACCTGGGGAGGACTTCTCCCACCACCCACCCTCAGTTCACCCCTGGTACTAGGCCTCAAAGAGTTTGGGTTTGGAAGTTAGCAGGCTATTGCTTTCCAGTGTAGCTTTAATGCCTAGGTGGGTTATCCTGCACCCTTCAGCATCCGTCATCTGCTGCTCTGCTTCTGGAGTTTTCGCCACTCTCCACTCTTCTCCTGGCTGTCTCATGGCTTCTGCTTACTACCTTACCTGACTATCTTTCAGCTTCCACCCCTACTGTGAACCGCTGACTGAATCTGTTATCTTGCATTTTCAGTCACCAAGAGAAGTGACTGCCTCTGGGCCAGACACCCAGTCTTGTGCAAACACCGAGGGCCACAGCCAGAGTGGCAAGGCCATGCAGTCAGCTTTCTTTAGGAGGAAGCCTGGGCAAGGCAGGCATTCAAATTGGTTCCTCTCGGAAACACTTCTCTTCCTGCCATTTTTCTTTCTTTCTTCCTCTCCTTCCCGGCTTCTGGGACTTCTTTGCTACCTGCTTTCTCCCTTTTCTCTCTCTTTTTCCTTTTTCCCTCTTTCCTCTCTATGACAGTCACCGTATATATACAAGGTATGAAGCTTTACAAACTTATATTCACTGCCCACTCCATAAAAATAATAAATTCTTCCCTTTGTGCTATGGGGCCTCTTATGTTTAACAAAAAGCAGATGAGAGAATTGGTTACTTAACTCACCATCCTTCAAGCTATTCCAAGTTGGCTTTTTGTCTTCAGTTACCAAATTATTATACCATGTTCTTAAATCTAATCCTTTAACCATTTACAAACAAATTTATTATTTTTGAAATTTACTAAACAGTCTCAGGGTAAACAGTAAACTTTCGGGGTGCTTTATCTGGGAAAAGTAGTGTCAGAATTTTCTACTCTAAAGCCCCTCTGAGAGCTACTCATCATTCTAGCATTTTGGAAGCTGTAGTTTTTTCATTTTTACTCCCACATTTCCTAATTTGCTTTCTTTCCCGATTGTAGATGCCCCGTAGTAGATATGATGGGGAGGAGTGATGACAAAGAAGAGCAGGGGAGAGTTGACCAGCCCCACTCACACAGCAGGCTGATAGCATTGCCCTGATCAATAGGCACAGATTCCTGGGCTCCAGCCCTCTTTCTTTTTTTTTTGAAAAGACAATCAAATTTAATAAGAAAGCTTATAAGAATTGTTTTTAAAAACATAATCTCACCTCCGTAACATTAATTTCAAGTGTTATATATCTCATCCCACATGCATAAGAAGTTTTACTTAGCTATAATTATAACTAGGACATATCGCTCTTGTATTCCCAGCTGAAGGCAGACAAGAAACTGCTGTTGTGGCTGCAGGAAAGTAGCCAAATGCTTCTCTAATACTTTGGACAATCTAGCCCCACCACACCCACTATGTCTAACAGGTCACAAATATTTATCAATAAAACATGGTCAAAACTTTAGGAGTTCACCACCTAGTGAGAGAGAGAGAGACATCAATCAAAATGCACTGTCATTCTTTCAAATGGCCATTGCCAATTTCTTCCCCTTTTCCTTCAACCTGCCCAAAATAGTAAGGCAGAAGAGACCATCAATCAGCCAAGTGTCATAGCCCTCTGAAAATCCCCGCAATCCCTTCCTTCCTCCCGTCACTTGGGAGTTAATTCTAAGGACTTCAAGGTTCTTCCCAACCCTGACAGCTGCCTGAAAACACTTTTTTGTGATATCAGAGCCTCCACCCTCTCAGCAAAGTCAATCCTGCCGTTAGCCTAGCTCTCCCTTGTCCACCTCCTGGTCTCTCCCAGGAATGCCGCCCTTGCCCCTCCTCCTTTCCTCCTTTCCCATCGCACTTCTTGCTAGCCCTTGGGAAAATAGCTTTAACTTTTTCCCTCTGGAAAGGGGCTCTGTCCACGGAGCACCTACCTTCCCGTAGTACTGAGGTTAAATTCAGCTACGTACAAAGGCCAGGCAGGACAGACAACGCTCTTCCGACTTTGTTTGCAAATCAAGTATTTGGGAACATTCTTTAACTTGACAAAGAAATGTGCTCTATCTTGTTCCTCCTTGAAACATATGACCCTTAGTCAACATTTCATTTTCAAAATTTTGACAGAGGAGCCGGCCCCTGGGTGTAGCGGTTAAGCGCACACGCTCCGCCGCTGGTGGCCCAGGGTTCAGATCCCAGGGGCGAACTAACGCACCGCTTCTCAGGCCATGCTGAGGCGGCGTCCCATATAAAGTGAAGGAAAATCGACATGGATGTTAGCTCAGGGCCGGCCTTCCTCAGCAAAATGGAGGAGGATTGGCATGGATATTAGCTCAGGGTTAATCTTCCTCACAAAAAAAAATAAATTAAAAAAAAATAACAACAACAACAAAAATTTTGACAGAGATAGGGATACAATAGGATAGGATTCATTTTCCTCCTAATTCTACTCTAAGAAAACTAACAGTGCAAGAGTGGGGTTAAAATGACAATAGACACTGTCAGTAAGTGGTGGGGGACCTTCTGAATAAACAGGGAACATATGCAGTCTTAGAAGACCACTCTCCAGTCACTGTTTGCCAAGTGGAACATGGGCCCCGTGTGGCAAGCTCTTCCGACTTTTCTTTCTGTGTGAAATCCAGATATTTTTGTGAAAAATCCAGATATTTTTGTGAAAAATCATGTTTTTTAAATGTTCACAGCTAATTCAAAAGAATTTAAAACGCTGCAAAGGCTAAAGCAAACAAGTTTGCAGGGTGCAAGAGGATTGCCAGGGTGCCACCTCCAGCACTGTACATTCCAACAGGCATTTATCTTATTTTATTGTATTTGCTTAATTTACAACAGGCAGTTCTATAATTATGCCTTTTATAGAGATCAATAATCTGTTTCTGTATTCATTCTCTATATTTGTGGTATATCTGTGTTTTCTAGCCTATCTCCACAACATTATTAATAGCGCCCTAAGGTCAAATTTCTTTCCCTCTTCTTCTCTTTCTCCCCTACAAAAGGAGTTAAGACATAGTACTTTTAAAACCAAAGCTTGGAGTCAAATTAGTTTAGAGATTAAATTACAGTAGCTTTGCAGAGTTTTCTAAAGTACATAGACATTTTACCAGTAATCTTACTGCAAGTCCTTGTTCAGAGAAGAACTGAGTAAACATGCTCACATGCACACACACACTCAGATACACATGAAAACATCACTATGATGGAAACTGAAATCGCAGTATGTGAATTACTTCTCTTAACACTACCATGTGCTTCCCTTAAGCCTGAGGAGCTCCCTTCAGATGATCTTTCTCACTTCTGAACTCCAACCATTTGGCACCATCCCCCTATCGGTATTTACCCTACATTTTTATCATAACTGCCTGTAAGTCTGCTTCCCTGTAAGAGCAAGAACTGTATCTCTCCATTGTATCACCAGACCTGGCACAGTACCCAGCACATAGTAGGCAAAGCAAGAGTTATTGCATAAACCATTAGCATCATCCAGCTACCATTTCCAGAGCACTTACTACGTGCTATATATGTGTTTACCTACACTCTCCTGGAGGCTTTCCCAAACCAGACCATCCAGGCCAAAGCAGTACCCCAGTCGCACTCTCTAGCACATAACCTTATTTTATTTCTCTGAATAGGATTTACTGCTATCTATTATATTCTTGTTTAATTATTGTTTAATTATGTCTCCCGCACTAGAATGAAAGCTGCAAGAGAACAGTCATCTTGGCTACCTCGTGCTTGGCTCATAAAAAGCAAATACATGAATCTAAACTTCCCACCTCCTCGTGTGGCAGAGTTGACTTGCACACAGATCACAATAAGTATGTTCTAAAATTTATACTTAGATTTCAGGATTATTGTGTTGAATATTTTATGGTTCATAATGAACTGTGGAAGGGAGGAGTGACATAAAAAAAAGTTTGGTCATATTCCCCCAAGCACTCACTGACATGAGTGCTGGAATTTTTGTTGCAATAAGAAAGCCACTTCCTCTAACATAAGGTCTCCTACATGTCTCGGTCTTGCCACATCCTCTGGTACACAGAGAGTTCATGATGTCTAGGCTGACTGGGGCGGTCAGGACTTCAGACGCGCACACTGACAGAGAAGGGAGTGGAGGGGTAGCCCGACCCCTCCGTCGGGAGTGGCCGTGAGGGCGTGCCGGAGGGTCTCCGCGGACTCCTGCGGCTGCCCAGGGCAGCCGGGAGACGGCTGCCGGAGCCTGTCCGCCCCCAAGATTCTCCGCCTTGGGGTTTCCCTTACTACTTCGTTCTACTTCCTTTCTCCTCCAAAGCCCAAATGCACTGCAGGGTCAAACGCTGGGCACCCCCAAGCCTCCCAGGAGGCGACAACACATTAGCGTAGACGCGCGCCAGCGCCGACGGGACCCGGGCAGATCAGAGGTCCGCCCCTCGCTCCCGCCCGCGCCGGCGCCACCCCGCCCACCCGCCTGCGGCCCGGTCCCGCCCCTTGCCCCGCCCATCGCTCCCGCCGCGGCCCTGCCCACCCAGGCTCCGCCTTTGGCCCCGCCCACTCCGCCTCCGGCCCGCCCCACGCAGACCCACTTAGCTGCCAGCACCTACATCGCCAGCACCAGCCGCCGCCGCCATGCCCGGAGGTCTGCTTCTCGGGGACGAGGCTCCCAACTTCGAGGCCAATACTACCGTAGGCCGCATCCGTTTCCACGACTATCTGGGAGACTCGTAAGTGGCTACCTGGTAGCCCTGCCCTGGCCTCGGGTTACGGCCGGCCTCGGACGTGCCTTCTCTATTTCTTCTGCCTTCCGTCCTCCTCACCGCTCAGCCCGCTACTCGCCGCCCGCCTCCTGCCCCCACCGGTTCCTGCACGTGCCTCTCGCCGTGTGGCGCCCGCCCAGCGTCGGCGGAGCGCTGCAGGGGGCCGGCGACCCTCGGGCCCGCCCTGCGCCGGCCGCTCGATCCCTTCCCGCCTCCCGCCTCCCGGCGTGGCTGGGCTGGCCCAGGACGGGGAAGGGGGTGGGGAACGAGTTGGGTTCCCTCAGGTCCCAGGAGCGCAAGGCCGGTGCGGAGGAGGGTTTGTTGTCTCTTTAACTCGGTTTGGAAAACGGTGCAAAGAGCGTGGTCAGGCCGAGGCCCGGTGGGGGCAGGAGCCAGGAGGCATCGGCGGTCACTTCCCGGGACTCGTGCCCAGGGTCGCACCTCCCTCCCTCCGTTCTGGAATTTGCTCCCTGGGGACGATGAGTGTGTAAGGCCAGCGTCAGAGGACACTGCTGCTGGCCGAAAGTTCGGGGAGGGCCCGGCGCGTTATCTGAGGGTTCCGCTTGCTGCAGTGGCATTTGCAGGCTTCTTGGCACAAAACGTAAAATTTAAAACCACCAGCTGCCAAATAAGTGGCTGAAAGACTTTTTGTCCAGAGCCTCCTCCAGTGGCCGGGATATGATTTGGTAACAGCTTTGGGAGGAAACAAGACGACTCTGTATGTAGGTGTGCCCTTCATTCCAGAGCTTCCAACACTTTGAGTGAAGGGCTTTCCGAGGTTTTTCAGTTGCAGTGACCAGGGGCGAAGGGTAGGCCATCGCAGGCGCCAGGACACGTGTACCTCCCCACTTTGAGACCTTCTGATTCCCAGTGTGGTGCCCCTCCCCCTTCTGCCTTGCTGCCTGCAGCACGTAACCTTGCTGGTCATAGCCAAATTCGCGAGCCATGATCTAGCTTGCTAGTCATTCCTTTATAACTAGGAGTAAATTGCTGCCGCCCTGGTTTTACAGTTCCTGAATCAGCAAACTTTAAGTTGCTTAGTTTTCATCTGAAACATCCCAGATGTGTCTAGTTATATTGTGATCCTGGAGTTCCAGCAGCCCCAGGACATGTGGTGTTCTAAGGCTTAGCAATTCCTCTCCTGTTTGTATCCTTTTTATATACAGTGTCCAGGTATATATATATATTTATAGACAGAGAGAGAAGGAAGTTGATGAGATTAATCAATGATTGGACAGGGCTATACAGAGAACCTGGGAGAGATTCTTAGACCTTAGGCTTACCCGACCCCTTAAGTCCATTTTCCAGCCACTGATTAATGGAAAAGCTAAGCTTTCTGAAAGAGAGGACTAGGCTAGAAAAGGGATGAGAAATGGAACATTCAGACCTTAAAGGCAGGAAAAGACTTCAGAAATACAGACTAAGGCCAGTCTCATACTTGGAATTCTAAGTATTAGTATTTCTCCAAAACCCCATGAGATATGGAGTAGGTTCCTTCCCATTTCCACCCACAGCTCTCACCTCTATAAAACATAAAATCTTACCAGAACTCTTAGGTTGTATGGATTAAAGTCAAACATTAACATAAAGCATATTTACTACAGCAATACTTAGGAATGCTGTAACTATTTAAGCTAACCCTACTTTGGGGGGGTGGTTTGTTGTCATTGTTATGGGCCTCTGGATCTATCTTGATTTGATTAAAAGTGGTACCTTCTCAAGGAGACACCAGTGGGAACATGAGAAAAATATCTGCATCTACAAACAAATGATATACAGGTCAGCCTTGGGTCAGGCATGGGATAGTATTCCCAAACTTTGGGAAAAGAAGTTTGAGCCCTTCATATCATTATAATACATGGATTTTTGCCTAATATAATTTTTCCAGACTCCATTCTGTATGTGATCTCAATTCAGACTGTCAGTTTTTGTTCCAGGTATTTTTTGGAGAAAAAATTAAAATAATTTCAAACATTACAGGTATCTACCTGTACCCCTGACAATTGGGAACAACTAATTGTTTTGGGGGGCTGCATTTGGTGAGTGAATTGAGCCTTATCACTGTTGCTGTACAGACGTGGTAGAAGCAGCTTCTTCATAGTGCATCTTCACCAAACAAAACATGTGTTTTCTTGGGGTTTTCTGGGGGTTAGTGAGTGGGGACCTTTCCCTTAAAGGAGGAAACCTTTTGTCTTTTGAAAACGAGGAAGGAAGGAAATGGGATAATGTAATTGAATTACTCGTAAGAGCAGGAAGCAGTAGGGAGACCTAGAGGGGAAGGCAGGCTATAGTAAGACATTAAGACATTCTCAGAGTTTATCCTACTCCTAGCTTGTGGTAAACTGGAGTTTGGCTTTGGAGGGAGGAGGGGATGTGAAGTGGCTTAAGAATGAGCTCCTTAGCGTGATTCAGCAAAATAAGCCTCTTGACTCACAATGCAAAGAGAATGCCTAAATTCTAATTCATCACCCCTTTAACAATACAGGAAGAAGTGCAATACAGGAAGAAGTGCACAGTTCATTTTTCCTCAGCTTCTGGAGACTTTCCCTTAAGTCTCATCTGACACTTAGATCCTTTTCCATAGAATCTAAGGCCTAGATTTTACACATAGCTAGGTTATTTATTTCAAAAGATATATGTCCCTCATTACCCTTTATAAAAAAGTAAACATACCACACCCCTCCCCAGTCCTAAAAATATTTCCTGTCTCTTCCCAGTCTTGCCGTAGGGCCCTCCATCATTTTTGTATAAGAAGGTCTTTTCCTTTGGAAGTTGAGTAGTGGGAAGGAGGTACCCTCGTCTCTGCTTTGTTCTTTGTGCTTCAGGAAACTTGGCAAACCTAGTAGAGGTCAGCTTGACATCTAGACTAGATTTAGTCATTTACTAGTTTAGGAACCTGCTTCAGTGTTGTAAATCCATGGGAGTGTGGAAAACTGAGTGTTAACTTTTCCGTTTCAGTTGACAGAGTAGTTTCTGTTGCCAAGGAAAAGGAAATGGTACTCCAAAGGTTCTTGGTGACTCTTCGCTTGAAGCGTGCTTAAAATCTATACAAGTTTAACCTTAGGCAATGATGATTTAAATATTAGTATTTCCTAAGAATGTGTAGTTCTAGAAATCTACATTAGGCTGTCAGTTTTCTACCTACTTGGTCTGAAGCAAGAAGAAAAAGAAACTGCAAATGAAGAGATAGGTAAAACTCTTAAAGTGCTGTTGTTTTGTCAGGGTACGAATATTAGGTGTCCTGTTTGGCAGGTTAGATCAGTAAAATAGTTTTACAAAAGATTTTATATGCATTCACTTCAAAGAAGCTGAGTGTGGACTTTAATTTTACATATAAACGGGGACAGGAGCCTATTTATTTCCGATTATGTTATCTACTTATTGTTGCAGTCAGGCATTTGATTAGATTCAGGGTATATTGGGACATCCATTGTTGGAGCTGAATGTCAAGGTATCTGTGCTTAGAAAAAATGTAGAAGAGGGTAAAAAGGGAAAAAAGTTATTTCTGTAAGCTACTTGGTGTGAGTAGCACAGATTTTATTAGCTGAAAAGGAGTTGGGATGGCTCTCTAGCTATTAAAGGAAGCAACACCTTTAACTTCAAGTCTTTTTAAGTATTTATCATGTTGAATTTCATCTTTGATTGAGTTGGTCTTTAAAGATAGGCTTTTCTGGAGGTAAAAAGATCAAAAAGCATTCCTCAACAGAAAAGTTTAAAAGTAATTGTCTTCGTAAGCATTCATTTAAAAAAGAAAGTCATTTTTGATCTAGGATTTGTGACTTCTCATTCGACTTGATGTTGGTGATAACCTCTTCATTCAGTTCTGACCTTCTTTTCCTCATTTCAGATGGGGCATTCTCTTCTCCCACCCTCGGGACTTTACCCCAGTGTGCACCACGGAGCTTGGCAGAGCTGCAAAGCTGGCACCAGAATTTGCCAAGAGGAACGTTAAGATGATTGCTCTTTCAATAGACAGTGTTGAAGACCATCTTGCCTGGAGCAAGGTATAGTGCCAGTTGGCATATGCTTCAAGGTTATAGATCAAGTTATAAATCATAGAAAGTAGCTTGGACTTTTTGAGGTGAAGGTATAAGTAAACCTCAGATTCAACCCTCACTGATTATTTGAAAACCTGACTTGGACTGCACAGTGACCTCCACACCTTGCTAAATCCAATGGTTGGTTCTCAGCCATCATCTTTTTTGGCCTGCCGGCAGCTTTCAACCCAGCTGATCACTGTATACGCTGAAATATTTTCCTCTCGGCTTCCAGAACACCACATCTGTAGCTGTTGCTGCTCATGCTCAGACTGAGTTTCATCATCTCCCAACCCCTAATTTATGCTGAAGTTGCCCTAGACTCATTTCTTGGGCCTCTTCTCTTTTGCTCTACACTCTTTCCCTTGGTGAGCACATCCACTAACATGTATATGCTATGATTCCCAAATTTCCATCTCTAGGCCAGACTCTCCTGGCTTCCACAACCACTGCCTACTTGGCATCTTCCCTGGGATGTCCCAGTATCTCAAACCTAGTGTGTCTAAAACTGGCTCCTGTTCTTAATCCCAAGGGCTCACTATCTCAGCTAATAGCAGTTGCATTTTTGTAGTTGCTCAGGCCAGAAATCCAGGAGCCATCCTTAAGTCCTCTTGTTTTTTCACATCACACGTCTGAGTCATTAGCAAACTTGTCTGCTCTGCTTCCAAATATGTCCAGAATCTTATTTGGAAGACTCCCCAGGTATCTTTGTGGCTTACCCTTACCTCTTTCAGGTCTTGATTCAGATGACACCTCATGAAAGCTTTTCTTGGCCTGTTTATCTAAAATTATAGCTCCCTCCACACTCCTCATCCCCCTCTGATTAATTTTTCTCCTTAGCACTTGTCACCATCTAAAATACTCTGCATATTTCTCATCTTGTTTGTCTGTTTCTCCCCACCAGAGTGGAGGCTCAGCAGGGTAGACTCCCGTTTTGCACACTGCAGGAACAAGGCTCAGTACTCAGTACATCCTGGGTGGTTGGTCTGTATTTGTTGAATGAATGAACTGAAGGAATTGTCTACTTTCAACAAAAGGAATTACTTGGACAATAAATCTGTGGTCTAAACTTAACTTGAGAACATTTTAATGATTTTGCTACCATGTGCTACTAAATAATGATGGATAACTTTTGAGGGAAGCCTACTGTGTATTAGGCACTATGTCAAGCACTTCACATGCAACTGAATAAAAGGTGTAGTACTGGCTTGTGAGTTGGCCTCCTGGGCTACATCCCTTGGCCATTTCATACCAGTTAATCCTAAGTGTCTGAGATTAGAAAAATCATGTATAGGAGAAAAGGGAAGGGCATTTCACTCAGAGAGTTGGATGGACTTACTCAAGATTGCCATCCTAGAAAATGGTGGCAGTGTGATCTGAACCTCACACCAGTGCTCTTTTTGATACTAGATGATAGAGAGAAGGAATTAGCCTGATTTAGGATAAAGTAAAGCCAAAGCGTATAGTTCTTTGGTGTTCATGGGTGTCATGTAATGCCTATTATGCAAGTGGCAGGGTTGAGAATTACGGCATAGCAATAATTAAAACCACAGATCACTGAAGGAGGAGTGTATAATATTTTAAAACATAGGAGCATACCCAGGTTCATTTTAGCTGATGAGCTTCTGCCTTAGAAGTTTTCAAAATTGTCACTGCATTGAATAGGAAACAAGCTCTAGCTATCAGAGGCAGTACCCAAACTTTGACACACAACTGGTTATAGAGGAAATCTCAAGCTGCCGTAGCGTAGAACCATATTGATTATTGTTTAGTTGTGGTGACTTGATAGGCAGCCAGTGACAGCAGAAGGGAAGGAAAGTTAAGATAATAAAATTAAGGAAGATGTTAAAATGTGTTGTTATCCATTTCTAGTTCATTAATGTCACTTTTATCCTGTCACCTCTCTGTTGAGAAATCCACAAGCGTTCTACATCTGCTATGCCATCAACTTCTGTTTTACTTTCAAGGCTCCACATAGTAAATAGACCTTATTCCGTCTTTCAGTCCTCTTTTCCATTGCTTCCTAAAACTTAACCCAGATAAGTTCCTCATTCTCCAATCAATAGGTTATGCTCAGACTTACCTACGTGTTTCATTAATATTGCTCCATTTCCTAGAATGCCTGCCTTTTCTGTGTAAAAATCTTGTCCATCCTTTAAGGGCCCAGATAGAAGTCATACCCCTTTCTTGAAGACTTTGCTAACTCAGTGGTCCTACAAATGGGGGTGTTAGTATGCTTCCTCACTTGCAATCTGACATTTATATATTATAGCCTTGCGTTTGCTGCTACTTCATATGGGAATCATCTAACCAAATTAGAAGTTCCTTTGAAGGCAGGAACCAGATGGTGTCTTATCTGTATTCCACATGTCTTACTCATCTGTACTTACCAAGTGCTGCATTAATGCTAGAGGAAATAATGAAGGTAGATTTTTTTTCCCCCCAAAAACCCTTCCAGGGATAGGAAAAGTAGAAGTGAATAAATGAATGAAGTTTTACTAGGGGAGCTGAGGGGGTAGAGAGAGGAGGTGAGTACATTATTGTCCTTTAGTTCAGACTTGAAATGCTTCATTTTTTCTGTGTGGATTTCACCCTAGTGTAAATTTACCTTTGCCTTTTCACCCATAGGAGATTTCCCATTGACTTGTCCTTGAAGTATACATTCAACTCTCCATTCTTATGTTCGCCTTAAGTTTTATTTCTTTTTTTTTTTTGAGGAAGACCAGCTCTGAGCTAACATCTATTGCCAATCCTCCTCCTTTTTTTTTTCCCCAAAGCCCCAGTAGATAGTTGTACGTCATAGTTGCACATCATTCTAGTTGCTGTATGTGGAATGCGGCCTTAGCATGGCCGGAGAAGCGGTGCGTCGGTGAGCGCCTGGGATCCGAAGCCGGGCTGCCAGTTTTGGAGCGCGAGCACTTAACCACTAAGCCAAGGGGCCGGCCCCGAGTTTTATTTCTTAATATCTGTCTTACAGTAGCTTAATGTCTGAGTGAGGATGTTTTTGAGGCAGGGACCAGATCTATAGAATTATCTTTGCATGTGGTATTATTTCTAGATGTGATGGACTCAATGAATCCATTGTTTCTGATGCTTTTTACAGCATTTAGGTACCCAGACGCACCTTGGATTGGGATCTAACTCTATATTCAACTTTTAAAGAGTTTAATGCTGCTTTCTCAAAGCAGTAAAAGCATGCCAAATTTTAAGAGACTTGGGCATGAAAAGTGTCTATGTTTATAACCTACATACTATACCCTACTGTTATTCCTGTCAATGAACAGTTGAGATGAGGAGTGTTCATTCGTTCATTTTCCTATTAAAATTGCTTAGAGAAAAGTATGATCATTATAGTCCTCTTCCCTGTCTTGTGAGATGATGGCTGTTCACTGATGGAATTCAGAGGATATGCCTGGTTTAGATTTCTCTTTCCCTTTTCACCTGCATTTCAGGATATCAATGCTTACAATGGTGAGGAACCCAAAGAAACATTACCTTTTCCCATCATTGATGATAAGAATCGGGACCTTGCCATCCTGTTGGGCATGCTGGACCCAGCAGAGAAGGACGAAAAGGGCATGCCTGTGACAGCTCGCGTGGTGAGTTGTAGAAATCCATTATGTAGAAATCCAGTCATTATGACTGGCCAGGCTATATGTCCAAGTAAATGCTGAGACCAGCTAGAGGAAAAAGGGGAATATCTCCAGTTAGGAAATAACTGTTGGTGGCAGTCTCATTGATTATCTAAATGCTGAGCCAAAGTAAAATTGTCAGCCAAATTTTTAAGCTGCTTAATCCATAGCTTTTGGAAATCAATAGAAAAATAGGTAGTTATCCTAAAATGTCATCTAGAATTGAGAAATCTTTTCTCTAGCTTTCCTGATAGCCCTCACTTTATTATTTATTTATTTATTTATTTGTGAGGAAGATCAGCCCTGAGCTAACATCCATGCCAATCCTCCTCTTTTTGCTGAGGAAGACCGGCTCTGAGCTAACATCTATTGCCAATCCTCCTCCTTTTTTTCCCCCAAAGCCCCAGTAGATAGCTGTACATCATAGTTGCACATCCTTCTAGTTGCTGTATGTGGGACACAGCCTCAGCGTGGCTGGACAAGCGGTGTGTCGGTGCACGCCTGGGATCCGAACCTGGGCCGCCAGTAGCAGAGCGCGCGCACTTAACCGCTAAGCCACGGGGCCAGCCCAGCCCTGTCTTTAAAGTGATGGGTCATGTCCTTAGTCATAAGGCAGCTCTGGTTTTGAATTCCTATTTGTTCTGTCCTTACCCACAAGAGAACAGACTTAGTCCCTCATCTGCAAAAATGTACAACTCTGTGAGGACCAGTATCAACTCCATTAGTATTATTTTTATGATAGTCATCCCTAATTAACACACTACCTTCCTGAGGCCTTCCTGGATTCAATTTGCATATCACTTTTTCTTACTTGGACAGCAGAACCAAATATAATTCCTTTCTAAGTTTAGGAAAATAACATGGAGAAGAAAATTACCTGTATTCCCACCACCCAGATTAACAGATATTGGAGGGGGTGGGGAGCAGTTGCCATTGTTTTGTTTTACACCCTTTTTTAATGACTGAAGAGCTTTCTAAGAGGCTTTAATATCAAAAACACTCAAAGAACTCTTTCTATTTATGCATCTGTGTGCTTTGCAGGTGTTTATTTTTGGTCCTGATAAAAAACTGAAGCTGTCTATCCTCTACCCAGCTACGACTGGCAGGAACTTTGATGAGATTCTCAGAGTAGTTATCTCTCTCCAGCTGACAGCAGAAAAAAGGGTTGCCACCCCAGTGGATTGGAAGGTAAAGATGTTAATTAAAAAGGGCAGATGCCCAGTAGGCCTGGAAGGCCTGTGGGACCTGTCTCTAAATGGCTACCCTCAGGGTCTGTGTTACCCAGGGCTCTGTTTCTGGCATGCAAGTACCCTGGGAGGATTTTTCCTCCTGGCTGAGTTAAGATTTGCTGAGAGGCCATTTTCAAGGTCTTTAACACCTTTCACGTAAAACACAATCTCCCTATGTTGCTTTCTTTCTTTAGATTATTTGGACAAATTAATTGGTCAGAATGATTCCTTTTCCTAAAAAAGGATTTTTTTTAAACCTTTAACCTTTGCCCGGTGGCAAGATATTTATAGCAAAACCTTGATTGGCCACTTAAGTGATGGCTATAAAACTATTTGGTGTATTAATGTCATGAAGCATTTCATTTCACTTAAGCTTCAGTCTTTTAAACCCATGTAGAATTCTCTGAAACTTATTCATAAACTTTGAATCTCTAGGATTTTTGCGATATGTAGGACATGAATAATATCACAAGAGTATCTTAACGTTGCTACATTTTTAAAATATGCTAACCTGAATACCAGGTTTTGTTGTTTTGTTTTTTCTGATGGGCAAATCATTTAAATTTTGTATCCATTCATTGAACATATGTTTATTGAGCCCAGACAGCGGGCACTGTGGATGGATATAGCAGTGAGCGATATAAAGTCCCTGCCCTCCTAGAACTTACATTCAAGTGGGTAGATACAAACAATAAAATAGTTTATAGCATAGTAGGTGGCAACAAGGGTGACAGAATAATCAAGCAGGGGAGGGGAGAATGGGAGCCCAGCTGTGGGAGGGTTGGTTTTATACTTGGTCATCAAGGAAGCCCTTTCTCTTAGGGGACCTTTGGGAAGGACGTGAAGAAAGCAAGGGACCAAGTCATGCATATTTGTGAGGGAAGAGCACATAGGCACAAGGAACAGTTAAGGAGCTTTACCTAAAAGTGAGCTTGGCATGCTCGAGGGAGAGAAGGAGAGCCAGCGTGCCGGGAAAAGCAGCACCAGGAGGTGGGCTGAGGGGCCAGGGATGAGAGAGGAAGCAGGATTCAATCACGCAGGACCGTGTAGGCCATGGGAAGGACTTAGAATTAAAATTTTAAAATGTGGCAAGCCATTACTGGGTTTGAAACAGGATTATTTCTTGTTAAGATGGGGAGATACTTCCCTCACCAAAGTGTCAAAGATCAACTTGTGAAACCAAATTCCTGGGAGGGGAGAGAGTCAAGAATACTTGATTATTCTCCTTAGCACCTGTAGCTACTTTGCTAAAGTTATTCCTTGCCTTTAGGCTTCACTATAAGATTGAATTTCACCATTCTCAATGTCTTTCAATAGAATGGAGATAGCGTGATGGTCCTTCCCACCATCCCTGAAGAGGAAGCCAAAAAACTTTTCCCTAAAGGAGTCTTCACCAAAGAGCTCCCATCTGGCAAAAAATACCTCCGCTACACCCCGCAGCCATAGGTCTCTCCGAGGAGTTGGTGCTGGAGCTGCTCGCTGAGCACAAAGAGCCAGAGGACGCCAGCTGCCAATCCTGTTTTCCTGCAGCAATTTCACAAAAACACCCTCGTGTGATCACAGCCAAGGTCTTAAGGTTGCTCTACTACTGGCTTATTAAATGAAAATGGCACTAAATATTTCTTGGGATTCTTTACTCTGGGCCTTCACCAGCATGCCCTTATGTTCATATATCGTAGCACTCTGCTATCTCTCTTTGAAATATATTCTGTATTTGAGACTCACATCTGTTGGCTCTCTGCAGGGTTTGTGATCAATGAGGTAGTGTCAACGAGGTTGAAAAGGTCTGCTTTGCTCATCATAGAATGACTATAAATTTTTCAGCTGTTCTAATCAAATCCTCTCTTCTGTTACCCATTTTGGGGAGCAACAGAACTTGAGGTTCAACTTCCTCTGTAGATAACTAATTATATAACCCAAGAACTTAGAGTAACCTGGATGTTCTTCAATCTTCAGTGTTTTAATCACAGCCGGGGAAAAAACTTTCAATTCTGAACTTTTCCAGGAGATAGGTGAGGTGAACAGCGGGGGTAGGAGGGAGGGATCTTTAAAAAATTTGCTATAAAGAAAATTTCTCAATAAATTTTTATCCAGAGAGGGAGGCTACAGAAAAGGCTCCACTTGCCTGCCAGGGAGGTGAGGCAGAAGGTGTGAACAATATGACAGTGCCTTTCACACAGAGTGTTTCCCAGGTCAGTCTGCTCTGTGCTGGGTGCACATGGAAGGGCACGGCTTGGGAAGAGAGGAGCGGCTGATTGATGATGGTTTATTGTAGAACTGTTCTTGCAGGGGGGAGGCTATTTTCTGAATTGGGGGGGGTGGTCAGTAAATAAATCCTTTGTTAAAACTGGATCAGCGAATTCTGTTGTCACAGTTTGAAGTACTAGTTTAGACTCATGTCCTGAGGGCAGAGGTTTCCTTCTTACTAGGATTGGCATTGGTACTTTTCTCCAGAGATGCATATATGAAATTTCATGTGATGGAAATGGAGGAGCAGCTGACGGACACGTGATTTCACCACATCTCAGCCCACTCTGCTCCATCCTGTTACGTGCCTGGGTCCTGTTGTCCCTTGAGTTTGTGACCCCTGCTGTAAAGAGCTCTCCTTACCTAATGCCTTAGTGGGATTGCTGGGCTTAAGAATATGAATCTTGAGGATAATGGTACAGGTCTGCTTTTCTAATCACTCTGTACTCATGGTCTCTCAGACTTATTATACTGTGATAATAAGTCCTAGGTTTAGAAAGAAGTGTCCCATACCTGGTATAATCTCTTGCATGTAGCCCTCTACATGTTTATTGAGTAGAATAATGTAAAACATAGTCCCTGGTGCCATGTGTTAGACAAGTCATTAAGCCTTTAGTTGCCTTGATTTCTCCACACGTAAAATTTGAGTCACACTAGGAAGGTTGAGAGTATAGGTGAAAATTCCAAGTTACACAATATCCTGGGGAATGCTTGTCTGAAAGAGACCTAAGGGGACTGGTCCTGCTTTCACCTCTTCTCTGAGTCACAATCTATTTTGCCCTTAAAGAACGAATACTATCTGGTCTTATAGCACATCTCTTATGACTAATCCCTGGCTCCTGGTTCATGTCACCTCCCTAACTGTTAGGTTCCTCACTGCTCTCTTCTCTTTGCTTTGCTCCTTGCCTTCTTTAGTCTTTGTCTCCTGAGAGTCTGACTTCAGCTTTCTTTTATAGTAACAGTTCAAAGTCTAATCTCCAACACTAATTCAAACTTGAGTCATATGTTTACCAACCGTTGGAACATTTGCCTTTGAATTTGCAAATTCAAAATCAAATTCATCATCTTTTCCCCCAATAAACCTGTTGCGCCTCTCATCACTAACTCAGACAGCCAAACCTTGGTGATTTATTTGGCTACCTCTACTCTACCCACATAGATGATATCACCATAAAAACTGAAAAAGCTCGAAGAAAAGGTGGCCACATACCCTCAGATTGAGTTCTGGCTCTATCGCTAAGCAGCCATGAGACTTTGTGCAAGTATTCTTTTCCAAATATAAAATACATAATGAATATGCATTTCCAGGGAAGAAGTGATCCTAAATACATGTTAATACACTATTGGGCATGGAGACTAGAGTTCCCCTATCGAGAACTGTTGCTCTCAGTTTTCATAGGGAGAACAGGAAAAAATTGCATTGTACATCCAAAGAAGTATTAATTGAAATTGAATTAATATATGACCGTTGTGGCTATGAGAGAAACATAAGGAATTTGAGAGGCAGTCCATGTGACTTCTCAAAAAATCAGCAAATGCTTTGGCTAGAATAGTCTTCTAAGATTAGCAAAGTGATAAACTTTTGGCCCTTGTGTGGTCTTCTTGCCCCAACTCTGATCTCACCTCCAATCTCCACTCTAAGGGTAGGGATCTGCATTGAGCAGAAGCTCAGCAAAGGGGTAAGGAGCCACAGTGGCTGTATCTAAATGGCCCAGATGCCAATTACTGGGTGCAGTGAACTAGCATAGTGATTTACTCCATTTGACCTCACCCCTTTGGGGCAATGGAAATTGAGGAAATACTGACAACTGATTCTAGCATAAAGAGTACATTAACTGGTTAAAAGGTCACCAGCACCTTCTTGTCAGTGATTGGTTCAGAAATGGTCATGGACTTCAATTCTTGGAGATGAGACACAAATAGAGGATTGTTGGAATTTCTGGAATTCTTGAGAGCAGTTGGAAGCCTTATTTTTTTTTTTTTTTTTGGTCTTGCCACTGAATATGAAGGAGAAAACATAAAGCACTGGTTGCTGCTGGCAGCTGTCTTTACAACCTGGGAGTGGGGAACCTGCCATAGAATGAGGAGGCCGTAAAGTCAACAGCAGAGTGGAGAGAAAAAAGAATCTGATCCTTCCTTATCTTCACTGAGTACCAACCGCAAACCCATCCTACCTCTTGACTTATATTACATAAAATAATAAATTTCCTTAGTGTTAAAGCCTTTTTGAGTTGGGTTTTCTGGTACTTGAGGTCAAAAGCATCCTAACTGATATGCATGGAATGAAGTATTGTCCTCTAGTTGTTTCAAATATATGCTAATGTGCCTCCTAAGCAAGATTGTGGAGACATCTGTTTTCTGCTACTTCTTTATCCCCTATACGTGTGGATCTCAAGCTTCATTATGCATTAAATCACAGGAGAAGCGTGTTTAAAATGCAGAGCCCAGTGGTCTGTCTCAGAGATTGACTCTGTAGGTGGCCAGAAATTCTTCATTTGTAGCAACTCAGGTGATTGTGGTGCAGAGTACAGCAGACACTGCACACCCAATATCCATCTCCCCCTTATTCTTTACCAAAAACACACAGGTTGTATTAAGGGTGGCAAGGTGAGGTGCCAGTTAAAATTCATCTTAAGATGATAGATTGGTGTGGCCATGTGACAGTGCTGGCCTGGGATGGGGTCCCTTCCTGATAAAAGGCAAAGCCTCGTAAAGAAAAAGCTTCTTGCCCTACTGAAAAGCACATGGGATGCCTGGAGTTACCGATGTCATTTTGCCACCGTGAGGGTAAAAGTCACAGGCCAAGGAGGAAAGAAGAGGAGGCTACAAGGAGCCTGGGTCCGTGATAACTTCCTCGAGCAGCTGCACCAGTCCTGTTCTATTTGCAGACATCTTGTTACATCAGAAAAATTAAACCCTATGTGGTTCTGCCATGGTGGCCAGGTTTCTGTGATGTGCAGCCACACCCGATATTTGCTGACACAGGTGGCCCGCAGACCACTCTGACAAATATTACTCTATTACCCTAGGTATCCAGAAGGTTCTTAATAGTTAGTCTTGACTTTCTTGTATTTCCTTTTATTATTACCTCTATTATGGTTGGTTTTCCCTAGTGTAGAGAATCATGTGTTCTTTCAAAGTCTTGTTGAGATGAAAAGGAACAATGGATTCTAAATAATTAAACAGACTATAAAATTCAACTTTATTTGACTTTTAAAAATAAAATGAAAAGTGATATCAAACATTACTATGCAATGTAAGAGTTAATTTCTCCTAAACTTTGCTTTCAGTAACTAAGATTGTGGAACATTACTAAGATTGTTCCTTTTTTCAATATTTACTAAATTGGGAATGGGAGGGGAATAACTTTACTATGAAAAATGTTAGGGAGGTACTAATTATAGCAATATCATAAATCAGAATTATAGATCCTATGCTCTAGACAGTAACATGTTTTTGATAACTTGTACTCTATTGTACCTGGCTCTCAGCTGGAAGCAGGGTCTCATTTGTTTTAGGATATATTATCCGGAAGAACTTTTTAACATCTCATGTATAATGCAACTACTTAAAATTAGAGAATTTATAGCAGTCCATCAACTGCTTGTAAAATAAATGCAGCAGTAAATTGTTTCAGCAACTTCTAAGTAAACTCCTTGCCAGATCATTCTTCAGCACTTGAACCAGGCTATTAGCTCAGACTTTAACCCGACTCCACACATCACATTAGTGCCGTTAATATCCTTTTCTAAAGAGGGATTCTATTTCCAACTATAAAAGAAAGTCAAAAGTTAAATATTAGACTATGAGCATTTCAGGAAAAACTTACTAACTATTAAATGCAACCAGAAAACTTACTGAAAAGTTTCCATTTTATTATCTGGAACATTCCCTCTAAAAGATCTTACATATTAAGAGCTTTGAGTGATACATTATAAGTAAATATATGTGCATCTCTGCATCATCAAAGGTTATCTTGTAAAGAAATGCTACGTTAATTCAATTCGAGTAGTCTGTCAAGGGGCACTTAAGGAGAAGAGAAATGTTAGGAGAGTTGAATTCCAGTTACCTTTGTGACTGATTGCAAGGTAACTGAAAAATTTTTTCATAAATCAGAATGAGAATTTTTTAAAATAATGGGGCCTGGAAAAGACAGTGACAAATGAGGAGCCAATTTCTTGACTCCCAGTTAGGTTTCCCATTTGAAATAGGGTCCCTTTAAGAAAGAGAAGAGGAAGACCCTAGGAAGCCTGCCTGAAAAAAAAACTAAGTTGCTTTGTTTAAAGGAATCATTACCCATAAGTTTGCTCAATGGAACTTTCCTTTCCCCAACTAACACACTGCAAAACACCCTGATTGTCATAGATGAC